TTAAAGATCATAGCTAAAAGGATGCCGGTAAAAATTATTCAAAAACTCAATGATGATATCCATGTAGGATGTAAATATGTTTTCACCATAAACATCGATCTGCTGGATTCATCAAAAGATATAAAACACAGTTGAGTGAAAAGGAATTCACTCAAACATATGTGATTCGCTATTCCGAAACTTTTTTTCATATGGCAAAACTTGACACTATTCAGACCCTCCTGTCAATGGTAGACAGCATTAACTAGCCAATTTAATAACTAGATGTAAAAAATGTTCTTGAATGTGACTTAAATAAGTCTGCATGGATACACCTCCAGGAATCCAAAGACTCGGAAGGCAAACTTAGTCCGCAATTTGGAGAAATCTATGTATTTGCTCAAACTATCACCTCAAACTTAGTTCAAAAAGTTCACAAAAGCTAGACTTGATTGGGATCCAATTAAGCTCCTTTGATCACTTCTTATTATGCAAACACAAGTATGGTAAGCCAACCATACTAATTGTTTAGGCTTATAACATCATTATTACCTGAGATAATAATATGGAGATAAGTACTCTGAAGAAAAAAAATGGGGTAAGAACTTGAAATTAAAGACCTTAGGCATCTCAAGTATTTTCTAGGAATGAAAATCTCTAAAAACAAATATGGCCTCATCATTCTCTAAAAGAAACTATATTCTAGATCTCTTAAAAGAAACTAGCTTAATTAAAAGCAAATTGGTAGATGCAACAACTAATCCTAACATTAAATTGAGCGATGTTAGCACCACTTCTCCAATCAATAAAGAAAGAAATCAAACGTTAGGGGGAAACTCATCTATTTGGCTTAGACTAGGCTTTTCATGGCCTTTGTCGAATTTGGTAAATTTGTTCATATATTGGTGCAACCAAAAAAATTACATTAGGATTGCAAACTAAAAGTCTTACTTATCATAAACATAGACAAACACATATATAATATAACAATACTAGAACACAACACCTTACAACTTATATTAATTAAGAGAAGAAATATATAGATGGGTCGGGAACCGTGGATAAAGAAGAGGTAGAAAACCGAGACGAAATAGTAGAGGGAAAGGGGAAAGGAGGCTAGATTTAGAACAAACCAGCAGGTTTTACATTCCAAAAATCATCACATACTCTCATCCTAAACTGCCACAAAACGGCTTCATATCTTGGAACCGCTGGATCGCTCTCCAATGGATAAAAATTTAAAGTTGTTCCAAGATATGAAGCCTCCATTGTTTTCAAATGGTGGACCCATAGAGGCAGAATATTGGGTGATGAGGATAGAGAAGATTCTGGAGGGTATGTCCTGCTTAGAAGATATAAGGGTTACTCTCGCTGCTTTCGCCTTTGATGGTGAGGCAGAAAGATGTTAGCAAAGCCAGCTACAAGAGACTTTTGGAGGGTGATCCAGCAATCAAGTCTCATAAGGAGAGTTTTTGAAGGTGTTCTGAGATTGGTATGTACCCATGTCAGCTAGAAGACAGATGTAAGATAAATTCATCAGATTTGTATAAGGTGATAGAACTATTACTCAGTATGATGCCGAGCTCACTAGACTTTCCATATATGCCTCGCATCTGATACCCAATGCAGAAGAGAAGTGACATCGTTTCTTATCTAGCTTAAAGGATATCATTAGGCAACCTTTGATTCCTTTTAGCATTGAGGATTATTCTACTATGGTAGAGAGGGCCCGAAGGATAGGAGTAAGACTTAGAGTAATTATTTGGCAATCATAGTTACTTTGTCTTTCTTAGGATTTTAAGGTGGGAGAGGAAAGGCATTGAAGGGTAAGCGACAAATTTCATAATTCAAACATTCAAGTGAGTAAACAACTATATTATGGTAATTTCATCATTTTAATTTTTATTTGTTATTGTAATTAATTCATTTTACTGCATTTCAAATGATTACATATTTTATATCTCGCATATTATGTGATTCAATATATTACTGTATAAGACATATGATAGAACTTAGTATTATAATATATGAATATGATATGAATGATATATTGAGGGATTGCATGTACATGTTGAAATGATGGAGCTCACCTCTTTATGGCACTAGCTGGGGATGCAGTACTCATACACGTTAAAATGGTAAAGGTTATGGAAAAGTATAAGGTAAAGAAGTACCTTCATTGGTACTAGACGATGGCTCTTGTGACGGTTGTACTATATATGAAATGAGAAAATTACGAATATTGATATGATTAATATAAATTGAATATGAAAGGATATGGATTTATGATTTATGTGTATGTTTAATAATGTGTTTATAACAAATCAAACTTATGATATGTTTAAATGAAAGTGGCATTTAGCATATTACTCCTACTTTGAATTACTGTAGTTTAGAGGCATGTTTTACTTACTAAGCTTTGACTTGCTATTAGTTGTTCAAAAAAATTTCAGGTATAATTTTAGGATAATCAAATTAGTAGAATTGGCAGAAATGTCTACCATAGACGTGAGGCTCAAGAAGAAATGTATCTATGTTTATTATATTAGTTTATAGATATTTTGAAGTTTAGTGGATCTTTCAAATTTATTGAGTTAGTTTAAGGAAATTAAAAATTTGATCTAGGGGGCAGGTCGTGACATCTTTTCTATCTTTTTAGAGGTTTTTTAGATTGTTAAGAGGAACTCTCTATTGATCTTAATGATTATAAATAGAAAAGTTAAGCATAAAAAAAAAATAATCAAATATTTAGAACTTATCAAAATTTCTAATTAAATGTGAATTATTTCCTTGTATTACTTTCATCTTTCAAATTTTGGTATATACATGAGGGTTATTTATTTCAATCAAGTGTGATACAAAAAATTTTTTTAGCCGTGTATGAGTGATAGAACAAAATTATTCTAAGATCAACATATTCATAATTCAAAGAGAGGTATAATACAAGGAAATTTGTAGATTTGATTGATGATTCAAAAAGAACTCTTTGAAAAATATAATATACTTCATCCTAAAAGAGCCAAACGGAACTTATTTAAATATTTAGGTGAAGCAGTGTTGCTAGAAAAAATTACTTTGGTCAATATGACACATAATCTTAAAGAACAACCAGACAAAACCCTTGTATTACAAGGAATACTAAAAAAAAAAATAACAATAACATCAAACTTTTATCCCACTATATGGGGTCTGCTACATGAATCTTTTTTCTCCAATGTGTCATGTTAAAAATCAAATTCTCAATTAAATCTAATAAAGAAAGGTCATTTCTAAATTTTCTATCCAAGTCTTCTTAGGTCTATCTCTAATTTTCTTAATATAAGTTGAATCTAAATTATCTAATACATCTATACTCTCCAAACCAAGACATCAGAAGGCTATTGTTTTATGTGACCAAACCATCTAAGGCCACTATCTCTAATCTTATCTTTCACTAGAGCTACTCCAACATTTTCACGTACATGCTCGCTTCGTATCCTATCTCTAAGAGTAAAGCCACTCATCCGCCTAAGCATCCTCATCTATGCAATACTTTAAATACATTGAGATTTTGTGACCATCTCTCAATCACAATGCTTCTGTATAGGGGTGTCAATATTTGACACGACACGAAAACCCGACCCGGACCCGACCCGAAAAATTCGGGTTGGACCCGACCCGGTTTCAAAACGGGTCGGGTTCGGGTTCCAGAAATCAACCCGTTTGAAAAACGGGTCGGGTTCGGGTTGACCCGACGGGTTCCCGCTGCGATCGCTCCGCTGCGACGACCCCGCGATCAGCTTTTCCGGGTCGGGTCGGGTCAACCCGGAAACCCGCCGGGTCGGGTCCGGGTTGGCATTTCCGACCCGTTTACATAACCGGGTCGGGTTAGGGTCGACCCGTTTGAACCCGGGTCAGTTCCGGGTTCGACCCGAACCCGACCCGTGACCCGAAATTGACACCCCTACTTCTGTAACTAACACACTAAGATATCCCCTCTATCACACTCATCAAATAAACATCTCAACAATGCTTCACAATTGAGACAAAATATCATCATTGCTCTAACTGTCACATCTAGATCATAAGGTTGTTCACTTTAGAGATGATAAAGGACCAAATCCAAAAAAGTTGTACTTGATATTGTCCAAATTTGGTACAAACTAGCACCAATATCAAGGGACCCAAATAGGTTTAGATTTACTCTACATTTGACAGAAATAGCTGCCACCAACCAACTAAAAGTGTACTCTTAAGGCACATGTGGATTTGCAAATGCAATTTGATGAGCTTATCATTATTAATGATCCTATCAGATTGAGGTGTAAAATTTGAATGCCTCTTGACTATTCAATACATTTGAGATTAACTAGCCATTATTTCTAGTGTACTAAAATCCTACATAAACAAGTTCAATAATAACAACTTACTTAGTTCATTCTTCTTACCCCACTCCCCATATCTCAATCATCTTGCCTAGTGCATGTTTCCTCTAATCTCCATGGCCAATATCATCCTGAATTTTTTTTCATAATTCTATATTCCAAAAAATTTAGAAAGTCTATTCTACCAGTTTAACAAGACGGCCATAATAGTTATTTAAAATATTAAATATTCTACAAATGTTAGTTATGTTATTTACTGAGCATTGAGACCTAATTGCAATTTTACAAAATAGTAACCAAGATTTTAATTGACAGAAACTTCAATTTTTATAGAAATTTATAAACTCGCATACTAAAAAAGGATTAATAACGAGAAGAAAATATCAACAAATTGCCATTATGCCAACTATAGCAAGTGCGGTTTAGGAAAAAAGGCAATAATATGAATGTCATGACCCATTCCATGAGAGGAAAAGCCTAAGAATTTTCCAGCAGATAAACAATGTTGCTTGTGCGACCATTTGACATTTCTTCATGAAAAAGTACAACCACCTTCCAAACCTAATACATACTCGATGTATGTTTGGAGTGTGATTCAAACAGGTTTAGCATAACAAAGTAGAATGACAAAATGAGAAGAAATAACAACATGTTTACCTTTGAAGGATGAATATCCACCGTGAGAATGCCTGGCTTGTTAGTCCGATGAAGGGGATGGCTGGATACTTGAGTATATCTTTCCAAAGCATCAATGGATGCCAATGTTGGTGGAACCTAAGATATTATAGAAAGAGAGAGAGAAAGATTAGACGACAGCTCCAAACAAGCAAGGCATCCTTAATATTTGAGATTTGTTCCAGCACAAAAGAGAAACTTTTATTAGAAAAGAATATGAAACCAGAATTTAACCTCTTTCAATTATATTCACTGGTCATGTATTTCTATCCTCTAAAAGTACTATAAATGTTGAAAAATATAAGTTATAAATTAAAAAGAGCTTGGTATGAGTATTCATGAAAACAATATTTAACTTAAAATTACTAAGTACCTGACGCTTTTTCCTCTGTCCCGACAGCATAGAATTACACTCGGTAAGTTCAGTGATAATGGCAGAAGTGATGCCCGGACGAATTCTTTTCCCGTCAGGACCAAATTCATCCTCTGCAGCTGCAATAGTAGTTAAAAACCAATTACTTTTCCATTCAATATTAGACTTCAACCATGATAAAAGAATACAAACCTCTTTTCCCATTGCTAACAATGGCATTGTCATTTGCAATAACAGCAGATGATAAAGGAATTTGTCTCTCAGCTTGAGCTAAAAGCACCCTTGCTTCATCCCTTTCCTTTTTTAACCTTGCTATTACACGGCAAGCAGCATCATGCTGACATATAACTCCACTTCTTAATACGCATATATGTATATTAAGTGAAAAGAGTAATAGTTACGGTGCTATTTAAGTTGCAAACAAAACTAAAGAGGAAACAATAAAATAAAGTAGGAAAGATGGAAAGCATCTAGCTGTTAAACCATCAAGGGAATTTCATGTGATCAAATAAAGGAGAACTTTCGCAACAATTAATGAGTGTAAAAAAAAGTATAATAAGGCTCTGCATGCCTAGGAAGACTAAATGTACAGAACAAAAAATTACTTCAGAAACACTCATTTAATTATGAATCAAAATGGCATTACAAAATCTTTTAAACGCCAATGGATACTGAAAATATTACAGGAAGACTAAATATACTAGACAAATATATGCATTACAACGATGATCTCACTTATGAATCAAAACAGCACTTAATAAAATGCATGATATGAAAAATACTACCCAAACTTCTAGATTTAAATATATAAGCATAATTTACAAAAACAACTACTGTTAATGGCATATCGCTAATTTATTGCAACTTCAAAAGCTCAACCTACTGAAAACCATACATTGTTGACAAATTAATAGACCAAAAAACAGGCGAAGATTTAACAACAAAAATTCACTTTTATAATCACATGGAATAAAACCATATTATAAATTACATTTTATTTTGGATGGATAGCGTGGCCTGTGTAAAAAAAAATTCTTCACACAATCAGTAACTGCCAAGAAATTTGAGCCAGCACTTTATCAAGAATAAAAAAAATACAAGTTTAAAGTATCTGCCATTCATCTTAATCTACATAATAAAGTTGACAACCAACAACAAAAACATCATCAACCAGCCTTTATCCCACTATGTGGGATCAACTACATGAATCATTTTTCTTCAATGTGTTCCGTTAAGAATCAAATTCTCATTTGAATCTAATAAAGAAATGTCATTTCTAATAACTTCTAACCAATTCTTTTCAGGTCTACCTCTGACTTTCTTAACATAAGTTAATACATCTACTCTCCTAACCGAGTCATCGAAAGGCAGCCATTTTATGTGACCAAATCATCTAAGCGACTCTCTCAAATCTTATCTTCAACTAGAGCTACTCCAACCTTTTTTCACGAATATGCTCGTTTTGTATCCTGTCTGTAAGAGTACAACTACTCATCCACCTAAGCATCCTCATCTCTACAACAATTAACTTAACATTATGCTTCTCTTTTAATGACCAACATTTTGCACCATAAAGCATTGGAGGTCTCACCACCATCTTAAATTGTCCCTTAAGTTTGAGGTGGACTTTTCTATCACACAATAAGCTCGATGCATTCCTCCACTTCAACCATCCAACTTGAATTCTATTAATAATATCCCCATCTATTTCACTATCACTCTGAACAATAGACCCAAGATATCTAAAATGTGTACTCTTATTAATAACTTGATTGTCCAAAGTCACAATCCCCCTACTAGATCTATTACTACTAAAATTACATTCAATATATTCGGTTTTAGATCTACTCAAACGAAAACCTTTAGACTCTAAGGTTAACTTTCATAATTCAAGATTACCTTCAACTCCCTGTCTCCCTCTATAGTTTTATCAACAAAAAGAATATCATTAGCAAAAAGCATACACCAACATGCAACATCTTGCAAACGTCTAGTAAGAACATCCATAACTTAAGCAAAAAGATATGGACTTAAGGCTGATCTTTGATGTAATCCATTTGAAATAGGAAAATACTTGGTCAAACCACCTTGCGTTTAAAAATAAGTAACAGCTCTTGCGAACAAATCCTTAATGACTTGAATATAAGAATTATTAACCCCTTTCTTTTCTAGAACTCTCCATAGCACTTCTATTGAAACTTTATCATATGTTTTCTCTAAATCACTAAATATTATATATAGATCCTCCTTATTCTTTCCATACTTATCCATCAAACCTCTCAATAAATATATAGCCTCCATAGTAGGCCTACTCGGCATGAATCCAAATTGAATTTGAGAAACATTAGTATCACATGTAAGTATGTAACCTATGCTCCATAACTACAGAATAATGACAACCAAAAAAAGAAAATGGTATAAGTTTAGCTAAAAGAAAAATCCTGTGGTTTGCAGGGTCTGATGAGACTTTGATGATTGCTAAAGCAATTTATAATGGAATTCAATTTGCCCTTTGTTGAAGGGACTTGGGACAGATAATGTTGGAGTCACGATGTTGACAGCATTGCCATGAACTTCATGATTTTTTGTTGTTCTTAATTTGTAGTCAAGATGTTTTTTGTGTATCTTCTAGCCGTTGTCATGAGTTTGTCCTATCATGTGAAAACAACTGCACTAAAATCCATTCGTCTTCTTGTCCCTATCAACCTCATAGTTGAATTTAGTTCCAAGGGCTACGATGGAGAAGTTATTAGTCTTAGGAATCATTGAGCATCATGCAACATTACATTTCTCATGTTTCTGCTCTTCCAACCTCAAAGAAAGCCTCACAAATGCTAAAAAATGGTTTCATGTTTCACATTCTTCGAAAAGCATTGTCTAAATTTTAACTTAGGGCGAGTAGAAACATGTATACTCATTCTCATTCCACTATCTTCTTCTATTGTTGCTTATCTTCTGGGCACCTCCAATCTATTTCACTAAAAATGTCAAATTGTTGCCAATAACAAGTTAAAGAATTGATATATACTATGATAGAGTTTTCATCTTGCCATAGATCATGAAGAACTCTTCCGTTCTCAAATATTTTGGAGGTATTGTTAACATTGGTATATAACTCTTTTGTCGGCATTACAAATTTCTTTGATAGTTTTATAATAAGTAATGTTTCTCTTCAATTTCATTTGTCATAGAATTTATTAGCCATGCAATCATTGTACTATTTAGTATTTTCCACTGTCCATTTATGAAACTTGAGGTCATTAATTTGGTGCATGAGTTGCTCATATGAGATAATCACTACCTTGCCTTTCTCAAAGACAAATACAATCACTAATTAAGACCATTGGATAAAGTTCTACCCATTAAACTTGTGGTCGATATAAGAAAGACAAAAGGTGTCTAAAAAGGTGGTGACTTTGATTAGGATACACAGATTAGCACTAGATGTCACCTCATAGTAGATGATTTCTCTGGTACCAACTATAGGAAGAGGCTAAGCAAGAATGAGCGGGAGAAAATAGATGGAAAAAAATATGAAGAAGAGATAAGAAAATTACTCTAAATATCATGTAGAAATATGCAGAGGACTTTCTTGATTCAATTCTTCAAAAATTCTGGAGTACAAATTTGGTATAAATAGAGGAGATGATCCATGATTCTCAGGACATCAAAAATACTTACCTGAATAAAACTAACTCAAAAAGAAAAAAGAAAAAGATGCGATCTGAATATTTGAATTAAAATCATTGTAACATTAAATGAAACATAAAGAAGTGAAGAGAAACGCCATGGACTGGTGATGTAGATGAAGCAATCTTGAAAACTTCTGGGACAAGTGCAAGCCACAGACAGCAAGAACTGTAGACATCGACAACAACCAATGCATCCTTGTCAGTTACATAAAATCAGGAACAACCTACACCTTTCTAATGAGTTTCCTCCTCAAGAAATTATAATGCATCCTTCAATACTCAAAACACTAACGCGTAACCAGAGTTCTGCGTAAATTAATATTTGGCAATACCCCAGCAACATTATGCATGCATACTCCAGAACATATGCATTAAAGGTAATGCACTTAACAGAACTTTCCTTCAATGTTCATCTCCAATCAAAAAATTGCAGCTAGCAGCAATAATTTTGTAAAAGCTCAATGTGGAAATGCTAATAATCTTGTACAGCTATCATGAAAATTAAAAGTTTCAACTATTATTAGTCCATGTTACGAATAAAATCTAGAGTGTGTTCTCATGCATTCAATCAACAGGCATATAAGCCCATATGCACAGTGCATTTGTTTTGTCCTCGACTGAAAAACAGATTATTTCAAGTAATTTACAAGTTCTTAACATCACTCGTGTTACACATTGAAGCACGCAAGAAAGTGCCTGTATGTTAAATACCTCAAGAGGAAGAAAGAAAGCCATATGAAAAACAAAATACCTGATACAAGGCATGACTAAGTTCTTGCCTTGCGGTATGCAACTGCTGCTCCAAGGCAAAACTAGATAACATTAAAGCATCCCATTCCTGCCATAAAGACATTTTGCGTCACATAAGACCATAAAAACATTATGAATCCAGTAAATAAAAGTTAATCCAGATCATCTGAGCAGAGATGGGATTATTTAAATTCATGAATTTCACAACACAAAAAATGCCAGCATTGACATTATATAAAAATACAAATAATTGCACCAACAAAAGAAATGATAAGTTCAACCTTAGCAACTAATTTAAAGTATGGCACTTCGGCAGGACCAAAATGAAAGAAACCTTCAAAATAAGAAAATAAAATGCAATAACATTTTCAGTATGGAAGTTTCATTTAGAAACAGAAGTAGAGAAATAGGTATAAGGAGATGATGATGATCATGATCACCACCATCTCTGATAGATAGAAATATAGACTAACAACACACACTGCTACGGTTCTCAGTTTCACATATTCAAGTTTTTCAATTTCATAATATGCCCGGATGCATCACAAAGTGTCTAAGAAATAAAGGTAATAAATGGCCTGCATATTCATGGTCACAGCCATGGTTTAAAATTGCGTAATATGAGGCTCGCCTTAAAGCCCGCCTTTGCGCAATTCCAGTAAAAAACGCCTCGAGTTTTTTTTATGAGGCTTGCACCTCAACTTGGTTGAGGCCCGCCTTGAGGCCCACCTCGCCTCACTGGCATGAGGCTTACACCTCACGCTATATATATATTAAAACTTACATAAATCTTGAAGTAAATGCCCGACATTGGACTCTATAGGAGAGGAGGAAAGGGAGAGAGCAGTTCATCATAATGATGATTCAAATGAATAACCCCTTAGTAATGACAGTGCTGATGACTTATGAGTTCTTATGTGATATGTCATTGCTATTTATTTTTGGAAATTGGAATTATATGTTAATGAAAAGAATACTGGGATTTGAGAAAGATATAATTTTGAGTTGAGCTATATTTCATGTTGTCTTTTTATTGGGATATTTTGATTTCACTTCATATCTTATATTTTTTTATGTTTTATATTATTCACTCATTAGTATATAAAAAATTTATCATTTTATGTTTACGCAATCTTTTGATTTTGAGGCTTACGCCTCACCTCACGAACGAAAAACGCCTCAATAACCGAAAACGCAATTTTAAACATTGGTCACAGCAAGCATGCAGCACATAATCCAAAATTCCATGCTCAGGTTAACATAATAAATTTGTGAAAAAGAAAAAATAAATAACAAGATATTGCAAATCGATTCATCAAAATTTAGAAAATTGAAACAAGGGATCATCTGGTCATCATCATCGTTAGCCTTCATCCAAACTAAGGGGTTAGCTTTTATTGAATAAGGGTATTTCAAAATACAAAAAGAATTAATGATTGCTAATACACAAAAAGAATTTAAATACACTACATGAATGTATTAGAGCAGGAGAAACAAGAAAAACTTTATGAAAAAAGCAGATTCAATAACGCCTACATTCTGAAACATGCCAAGCAATCCTGGGATACTTGCAGCCTGCAAAGGTCTAGGCTTCACAACCTGCAAACAACAACACTAAATTAGGGTATAAAATAAGAACAATTAAAAAATTAATCTTTAAAATATTCAGATAAAAACCTAGCTATAGCTTTGTCGCGAGCCTGACATAATTTTACTTAGCATTACCAGATTTTATTCTAAATGTAATACATTTCAGTAGGTAAGTACCTGCGAGTCCGTATTGACAGAAGATGCTCACCAACCTATTTACTATATTCTAGTATTGTTTCCGGTTTAGTTTATCACATGTCGAAATACCCCTTGTCTACCTTACATACAAGGTACTGATGACATGGATTTGGTCTCAGAATTACAAAGCATCCATAAAAATAGGTTTAGATTTAACTCATCTAAAAAAAACTAAATTCAATTAAGGCTAATTCAGAATAACTCAGACATCTATCACCGCGTCATCATCTTTTTCCAAGAAATTGCAAAGCACGCCAGCGGCATAAAACTTTTGGCGATCAAAGACTTGAACAAAAATCAAACCATGCAAGTTCATATGTTTTAATGTGGCTGTTTCACGTGGGTATTACTGACACTTCATTCTATGGTTTGTTCCAAGATAAATTAACACCCCAAAACAACACCAATAAAACACTTAAAAAAAACTGAAAGTTCTAATTCAGCCAGAGCATCAAGTTTCAATAATTCTCATCCTACAAGATTCAAATGGTGCAATGTCGAATTTTAGCAGAAGTTAAATCAAGCAGACTGCTACTTAGTTTGATTCACTTAAGATTAAGTCAACTGGAACGATAGCATAAATCAAGCAACTTATAAGATATATCCTCTCCATTCAACATGAGAGAAACTAGGAAGAAAAGATGCTAAGTAAAGGGTATATCCTGCCACACAAAATCCTGGAGTTTGGCCTTGTTGGCTAAAATCAAAGTATGACTTTCATTTCTGAACATGCCAATGTGGTACTAAGTCCTTCAACCATCTAAAGACAACATTACATGATGCCTACAAACCTAAAGACCTATTTAAAGAAAGAACACTTATAAGTCCGACATAAAGATAGAAAAGCCTTTTTGAGGTAATCTAACAAATAACAAATGACCAAAACTTAATAAAGATTAAAAATAACGGCAGTAGTGCATTCGTGATTTGCTGCACAAAGCCACCATTTTATGTCTGCAAAAATTTGCAGCAGAAGTTACCATCATCCAGCACTAACCATCCTCAAGTTTCATCAATGAGCTTAGGTAGCCACCAGAGTTCAAAAGCTCTGTTGTCAAGCTTCATTTTGGCAGTATATATTTCCATAATCCTTGATAATTAAACTAAACTAGGCATTTAGGTACATTATTTTTCTCAGTCATAATATGCTTGTTGTTTGCAACCAATCTAAGGATAAGTTAAATGACCTCTGTAACTGAGTTAATGCCAATTGCCAAAGATCATATGCAACCAAAATAGTAATAAAATTTATGCCTCACCTTTCTTGCAAGAAATGCAATATCATTGGCCTAGATTTTTTGCAAAACATTGAGGAAGCTCTTTAGTTGTAAGTTTTTTAATATCCGCATGCCTAATTTTGAAAGTTATTAGCTTTAATTGAACCAAGTTGATTCTTTGGATTATTTTGCATTTTCAAAATGGCCTAAAATTAAGAAAGCCCCCATTCTTAACTTCCAAGTGTAAATCAGAAGTGATTCACCAATGTAGGTCATGCTTCAAGATCTACATAATCTAAGAAATATCTATGATCATTATTAAAATGTACATAGCAGGCATTTTGTATCATGATCTACAATTTAAATTTTTGAACAAGACCTTAAAACCCCAATTAATCAGCCAATAATAGTATGCAATGAGTATTAGAACAAGACCCCTTCATTAATGAGTTAAGCATACTTTATCTCATTCTTTTCAGAATCAGAAAAGCAACCTTGCCTCCCAAGCTAGATTCCTAACCCATTACCCAATCACAACCCCTACAAGTCTGAAATCTGGCTTCTTCAGACAGATTTGAGGAGCAAAACAAATAAACTCGAAGGAAAAATACTTAAAGTATTTCAATCTTAATGGCTGTCTTTCCAAGCCTTGTCCCGAAAAAAAAAAAAAAAATTCAAGATACCTCTATGCAAAACAAAATTCATGGGCATAGACAGTGTGCACCTTATTAATCTTCACAGGTAAGATGTCATCCATCGAAAGCTCCTCCTTCGTAACAGGGCACTTTCCATAATCCTATAACAGAAACAAGAATCAAGTATAGCTGAGAAATGAAAGAATTTTATGTAAATGCAACGCAAACCAACAACTGGCCTTCAAAGCACAAAATAAGAAAATTGCTGAGTAAACTAAGACAAAACCCTATACAAAGAATACAGCAAAAGGACCTATAAGCCCGAAGCGATAAGGAGAGTGTAGAATCATATAAAACATACAGCAATATGGCGTTCGATCAGCCTGCGCTCATACAAAAGCCCGGACTTCTTGGATATCACGGGGTCCTCCGGCACTTCGCCGGAAACTAAAAGAAACAATAACAAGGACGCGTTTATAATGAAACCGAAGCGAACAAAAGTAAATAATGTCAAGCGTGAAGCATACTCGCGCAGATCATGGCTGCCGCCTCTCAGGCTCCTCCACTCCGCCGTCGATCGATAGAATGAAGAGCAGGACCGCGGGTTTTGGGAGGGCCGAGAAATGGACGAGAAGCTAAGGTGAGGAAGGGCAGCCAATAGAACAAGTTAGGGTTTGTTAAAAAAAATAAAGACAAAGAAGAGAAACGCTGTGCCAGCCTTGCCACTCCTTTATAACTCATTTGACTTACAAGAGTGAAGAGACTAATGTAGAACTCAATGAGAATCTCAAATTTGTTAAATTTTATAGATCCTATTTTTATACTTATATATGTAATTACTTATTAATTATTTTGAAATTTTTATATGTATTTATGATTTAATTTTTTATTTTTAAGTGTGGATTTATTCAAAGATTATAGCTATACTTTTTTTATAAAATATAATTTTCATTCGATTGACTTAACATATTATGAAGTTAGAATAATGCAAATATTTTTTAAAATATGAATCACATATGCTTACTTTTCATCAATGAATTTAATGGAATGTTTATGTTTTTTTTCTTAAGTATACAAATTGAAAATATGAGATTATTTTAAGAAAAAAGTTAACAGGGTGCTCACTAATGTTTTCGAGGAAAAGCTTAGGCTTCATTTCGGACATCTTACTTATTATTTTGTTTTTCATGTCATAACTATAGTTTTCATTTGGCTAATGCTTTTTATTTGCTTTCTTTTTTTTTTTTTTTTTTTTTTTTTGGTAAGAAGCTACTTTTAGAAGTAGCTTTCAAAAAAGCTAATTTTCCTACAACAATTTTATAATCACATTTACAAAAACATTATTGAATGTGTGTGAAATTTTTCATAGTCGGTGTGTAAAGTTTTTCTTTTTTACCATCCAATTCCTTTTGGATGGTTTTTTATTTTTATTAAACTCATTTCAATTTTGAAATAGTAAGTGAAATTAACTTCGACCATCAAAAGTGAAATTGTTAAGATTACATAACATTATCATCCAATTATTATGATGATTGAAAAGGATTTGAATCAACAGTATGTAACATAAGTATACATGTTAAGGATATGTTGAAATTTAATATAAGGATATAATTTTCAAAATATTAATATTGGAGGTATTAAAAAGAAATCCAAAAGTAAAAAAAGGCAAAAAAAGGCAAGGGGCATATCAACATGAGGAGAAATTATTCTGTGCGAATACTGGACGGTCCAGAGACCAACCAGAACGCACCACATCACCTGGTACATAGTGGTACCGAGCAAAAAAGTGATGTGTTGTGTTCTGGTTGGTCTCCGAATAATTTTTTCTAACTTGAGAGATCCTGGATGTTCAAAAGGAGTATATTCTAAGTTAGATTATCTATTTTAAGATAATTAGTCTATCAAATCTATATTAAAGTTGGCCATATTATTAGAAAATGGAACTTACTATTCCATATTAGTGATTAACATACCATTAGACTATACCCCTCTACATAATTCTAATGTGAAAAATATGATGAGACTTATAACTTGGAACCTCAATGAGGTTAGAAAGCCCAACTTTGAACTTATAATCATGTAAAGAAGGGACAACCAACTGGACCTATTCAAATATTTGAAATTCATAATGTCAGGGTTTTGATGCAAATGCAAGATAAAAGACAAATTATTATGTGTGTAAGCCTTTTATGATCTATAAATTTGTAAAATTGTTAAAATAAAATCGCGATGAAATCATTGATCCTTGTTAGGAAGCATTGTTATTGACACCAGAACATTGTCTCATCTAACTTTCTAACTTCAAAGGTTTGACCATCTTTACATAGCAATGCACGTACCCTTCAGGACATCCTCGATACGAGTATGTTGCTATAACTCTAGTCTTATCACTTGCCTCGATCTTCATCCCAAAGTTGTTAGTGATGACGGTGGATCATAGGAATTGCTTAAAATTGACTCCACCGTGGAAATAAACACCAAAGCCTATTAAACTATTCTATCATTTCTATCACCTCACCATCATTTCATATAGTCTTGAAGACTTTAGGAGAAGTAACATATATGATAGTGTAACTTAAAGTCATGGCCATGAAGTAAGCCATGGACAAATCATCTCAACCTTTTCTCTGAAATAAAACAGTTAGCTAGATCCTTCTCATGTTTAATTTTTTTTGTTTGTGATCTTCATATCTTCTTCTCTATTGACTTCTAACTTCATTCCAATATCTCCCAATCTTAAATATAATAAGAAGTCATTCACTCTCATTCACCATAATATTCATTTACCTTTACTTCAATTTAGTAAAAATTTGCCAAAAAAACATATAATGTGTTAATAATACATCGTTCCACAACTTAATCGATAAGGTAGAGGAACAAAAAAACCTATGTGGAATACCAACGGAGCTAGAGCTTGCGACTTTGATAGGAGCAGGGGCTTCCGCTCTAGACGTTGAAGAAGAATGACAAGTAGCAGAAAAAGATTTAGGTCATGAGGAATTTCATCACAGTTGGAGCTTGTGACTTTAATAGGAGCAGGAGCTTTCACTCCAAAAGATGAAGAAGAGCAACTTGAAATGATTCGATGGAGAAGATCGTATATTAGAAGTTCACTAGGGAATGAGTTCTCATAGGCGCCTCACATAGACAAAATAGAGTGGTAGAAATGAATCGATAGGGAAGAAATAGGTGTTGGAAGTGTATTTTAAAAGTTTTAGGTGTTAGATATGTAAATTGGCAAATTTCATGTATTATGTATGTAAATCCCCCTATATTAAATAATAAAAAGATACAAAGATTAACAAAATTTCCATCAAGAATATTGAATGAAATACACAAAACAAAGTAGAAGAAAAATAAGAGAATTAAATTTACATATTCACCTAAACAGCAACCAAAATTCATCAAGAGTTACAAATCACAACAACAACAACAATGAACACAACCTAAAAGGTAAACGAAACTCCAATTAGAAGTTTGAGACAAGCTGACTCATTAGCCTGTTAGGCCTATCATGAGAACATGCTCTTGTACCGTCTGAATCTCCCAAATTCACTGGGGAGCCTGAAACAAAGAAAATGCTTGAAAATAAACTGGAATCATCACAGCCAAAAACTAATATCTGAAGCAGTTGGAAAGGATCAGGAAAACCCCTCTGCTCATCATGGATGAACATAGAGGGGTGTCAAAACTTGTCGACCACGAAAATTCTGGGTTCGGATCAACCTATTTGCCATATAGTTTGGTTTCGGGTTCAGGTTCAAGATTCCGACTCATTTTCTAAAACCGAGTATGGTTCGAGTTGACCCAGCAACCCTAAATCAACTCGTGTTGACCCGGAAAGGTGAAAACCTAACCTGCGGTGCTGTCCGTGCTCGCCTCAAACTCTCGCCAGTCACCAGTTGGGTTCGCCTAAGGACTCTCGCAGCCTCTCCTCACATCCGGAGTATGAACCTGCACTGTGCTGGCACTCTCGCGGTCTTGCCTTGCATCCGACATTCGGTGTCGGGTCTATTTAGTCTTGTCTCGCTTGACCGCACCTGCATCCACATCCGGCTCCGGCTCAGTCACGGTAGTCGGCACAACACAAATGCATGATACATCGCCGCAGCTAGACAACCACGTCTGGGCTCACGAGTCAGGTCGGGTGAACTCGATAACCCGCGCAGGTTTGATCAAGATTGGAATTCCTGGCCCGTTTGCAAAACCGAGTGGGGTTAGGGTCAACCCGTTTAGATTGGGTTAATTTGGATTGGACCCGAATCCGACCCGTTTTTACGCCCCTATGAACATACAATCACACGTTAATGTTCATACCAAACAAAGAATAATTCGGATCCAACAACTCATGAGCCTCCAATCAAATCAATACATATATATCCCTCAAAAGATGAGAGAAAAATTAAAATCAAATGTTAAATTAAAAAGTCGGGGTTTGGAGCACGGACTGCACAGTAACCTCTGCTTTCTGTGCTCCTGTGCTTTTGTAAGGAAAATAAATTTCTTTCAAGGAGGGCTAGGGGACAGAGGGAATGTTGCCCGCTTGCTCCCCTGCTACCCTCAACGAGCTCGATCAACAATATTTAGATCTGAGACAATAATACAAGTCATCGACACAATCAAATTCAACACAAAACTAACAAAATCATCAAGCTCAATCCACACATTCAATACTTCATTAGCAATATAGATCTCAATGCCAAGCAAAAGGAAGCGTGTAAGCAATTATTAGCTTTCCACTAGAATTTCTAATAAGCCCACCACACCATCGACTTCATAAGAAACAAAACAACCATCAGATCGAATTAGTTTGAACTTTATGCTTAATCCACACATTCAAGAATCAAGACTTCGTTACTAATATAGAACTCAATGCCAAGCAAAAGGAAGAGCATAAGCAATACTTAAACTTCGTTTGGGATGGCTTTCTTACTGCTTCTTAAAGCAGATTTTTATTAGCAACAGCAACACAACTGCATAAGTTATAAATTGTATTTATCTAAATCTGTTTTAATCTGTATTGCCTACGTGTAGCCATAATAAGTAGAAATATTATATATACTCCTGTACTCTGAAAACAGATCAATAAGACAAATTATTCTCTTCCTTCTCTGTGCATTCTTTCCTCTCTTCTCATCTTATTATAGCAATCAAGATTCAACATGGTATCAGATAGGTACACCTAACTCGGGACCTATGGATTCATCGTGTTCTTCACAAACATCTGGATCAATGGCTCAAGAAAACTCTGATCAATCCGGCATTTCTGCGTCCCTCAAATTTGTTCTTGCTAATCTCAAGAACTTTGTTCAATCTCCTCTGTCAACCGATGATTACCTGGTATGGAGATCGCAAATTCTCAAAATCACTAGGGCGAATGGTTTTGAATCGTTCTTGGACCCGCTGGCCCCAATTCCGGCCAAAAACATTGCCGGATCTGACGGAAGCTCCATTATCAACCCTGCTTATACCAGCTGGATTCTTGCCGATCAAAACATCGCGGCGGCCATGTGTGCTACAATCTCGTCCTCCATCCTCCCGTATGTGCTCGATCTTGAGTCCACCGCGTCAATTTGGATCACGCTTCAAATGAGATTCCAATCTACAAATCGGTCACGCGTCCTTCAACTCAATAACGAATTGCACAACATATCAATCAAGAATTCAACTATGACGCAATATCTCGCCGACATCAAATCCCTTGT